GCAGGGTCGGGAGGCTGCACTGGGCTGCCCTGGGCGCGCCGCTCCCGGGAGGCCGCACAGGCCGACTGCTCGTCTGAGCCCGAGCGAAGTGGTACTGCCGTGTGTACTCGCCGGCAATAAGACCCCGGAAGGAAAAGCCCATTTCCAGCCTCAGAGAGTCCCGAAGCCTCCCGTCTTTCTAGCAGCACTCGGTATTTCGGATGCTCCGGACGAACGCTGCGCTCACAGGCAGATTTGGGACAGGCTCCCCCAGGGTGCTGATGGGAGTCTGGGCTTGTGTGCGCCTTCTTCTCCGTGTGTAAGCGAGTCACGATGCCTCGGAGAATCTAGATCCGCCCAGAACCCGCGTCAGTGTGCACACCCGCCTGTCTACACGGCCAGCCAAGCACCGCGTCGAGTGCAAGCTTAATGAATGTGCCTCGCGTAAACCGCAGGGCTGTTTCTCTGTAAGGTGTCTGTTTAGACAACATCCCATTAGGAAGGGCCAACTTAAAGGTGGTGTTTTAGCTCTGAAACACAAAAATGTTAATCATTTCTCAGAAATCTCACATGGTGAACATTTTGTAACCCATGGCTGTATAACGCAAGCTATCCTAATTCAAAGGCATACATGCTCAAGATGAAAACCATTTCTCTCATTGGACAAATCTGAATTGTAGAGTTATGTCTCTTATATAAATTAGAAATAAATGGGTATATGTCCCCAAAAGGGCTAATGCGGTATTTTCTCTCAAGGCACATTCGTTCTTCTAAACATCTAGCCTATGAGCTAGTTGCTGGGGAGGACTCTTTAGAAATGCTTTTCATCTGTCTTAGCAAATTATCTGAGTAAGTTGTTTATCCTCCTTTTGCACCATGGACTGGCTCTTTCTTGGAGAGCTAATGCTTGTCCTGTAACATTTTGTACTTGAAAAATACCTGAGGCTTATTACTGGTGAAGGAACAGTACAGCAGAGACAGAACAGGTGGGATCATGAGCACACGGCTTTGTCCTTGGTACTGGTGACAGTCTGTCTCAGACGCTGGCATGGCATCTCAGCGCGGCTGCCGAAGGCAGAGATCCACAGGACACTTACTAGGAACACGACATTTACTACATAACGTAAGCCCTGCATCTCTGCCGGCCAAAACCCTGAGACCTCACAAGGGTTCCAGGGCCCAGCAAACACGGACTGTGTCCCCGGACTGCACATTAGACAGCTATCTGTTGCTACTGAACCACGCCGAACTGGAGCTCTGAGCACTCCCTGTATTTCAAGGGTCTGTCATCTTAGAACCAACACAGGCACACGTGTCGTCCCAAAGTTGAAGCATGGTTTTGCATAGAGCCCGCGCTAACAGAGCAGGCCCTTCATCCCGGCACAGTGGAAGGGACCCTGAGTGTGACGATGCCAGTGCCTGCCCTCAGTCCTCAGGTCCTGCTGAGAGGGTAGCCTTGGAACGGAACCACGAAGAGCGCCTGAAGCTCACGCAACCGATGGACTCAGACCGGGTATCTGAAGTAGCAACAGAGAAGTTCTGGAGACTTGGTACCCAGAGAAGACTAAAGGTCTTAAGGTAGCTAAGAGGCAAAGAAAATGGTTGATGGGCCAAAGCCTCAAGGAGGTAAGAGCTATGAGCTGAGGGAGCCAAAGGCTGGCACAAAGCCCCCAGTACTTTGATTCGTGTGGTCCCTTTTCCTTCTGGCCAGTTTACTGATAAAGAATTTCATCAGCATCCACCCAAGACAGCCTAGTTATTCCCCAGCCGTTTGTAAAGAGTTATTCCTTGTGTTAAACTAAAGTCTGTCTTTGAATATCTTGGTCCTGGCTGGGTCTTCTAACAGATACCCTGTGGAAACAGCCCACCTATCGTCCACCTTTCATTGAGGCAAGGAAAAAGCCACGCTAAAATTCACTTGCTTCCAGCTCTCGATGTCCTTTTGCCCTCCAGCCTGGAATGAGTGTCTTCATGGTATGATTTTAACTCCCCTGCATGAAACCTTAAATAAGATTCCTTAGTCCAAATCCACAAGGAAAGCTAAAGTTCCTAATACATTAGGACCAAAGGCGGGCATGGTGGCGCATGGCTATTACACCAGTAATGGATCCTCCTGAGGCAGAAGGATCGCTGTGAGTTCGAGACCAGCCTGGGCTACATAGTGAGTTCCAGGTCAGTCTCAACTACATAGTGAGACCCTGTCCCAAAAAACAAAACAAAACAAAACAAAAAGAATACCTAATACTTTAGGACCAGAGACAAATTCCAATGTTTTCTCATATGTGATTTCTCTTACTAGTCACACACAGGTGATGCACAGCACTCCAAATGGCTGTTCTCTCCTGAATCCCCAGCTGGATTCTAGGCACAGTTCTCCCACCAAAGGATGCTTATAAGAACCCGTATTTCCTTCTTCTTTCTGAGTCTGAAACTGGACTTTCTTAGCTTTCCTACTTGTGGCCTCGGACTGAAGACCTGGGGCCTGGCCCATAAACTGTCCCTATATGTTCTAGTACCTTCCCCTTTCTGGCTCGCTGCAATGCAAATGACTACGTGGACCACAAAATGAAGGTGTGAGTGAGGAGGAGGAGACCCTCCCCTCACCAGGAATGTCCAGCTCTGCTTATTAAGTGAGCACCGAAATCTCGCATCATGTTCAAACACGCCTAAGACTACTCCTCCCTCCCTAATACCTGGGTCTTTACCATTTCACCACGTCTCTGTGAACGGTGAGCCTCCCTCCTCCAACTCACGGACAATCCTTAACTATGGGCGCGCAGTTCCTAGCTCACATGGAGAGTTCACTGAACG